ACACAAAACCCTAGTCATTGGTTATGGCCGTGGTCACGAATAAGATTAACTTAATTCGTAATAAAAATATAAATAATTATTATCATGGTTTTTTAATCACGGGATTGACTAAGGGCAAGATTTGGTTCACTAGCGGGGTTAACTGTTAATTTATGTCAATATAAAGACACAAGCGGTTATTGTTGTAGTTTTAAAACTTGATTCGATGTAGAGTTATGGTCATGTGTCAAGAAAGTTAATTCATGTTAATTTGGATCGTTATAAAATAAAATTGATTATATCATAGTTCTAGAGCTTGACTCGAGGGCCAACTCGAACTAACCCAAGTTAATATAAGAATGAAATTTGTTATTTTTGTACTTTTAAAACTCAACTTGGATGTCAACTAAAACGAGATCTAGGTCATGGACAGGGAGATCAATATGGGTTGATGCAGGTTAATATATGGATAAAAATTATTATTATTGCAATTTTAAAGCTTGATTTAGAAGTTAAGTCAACCCGATACAAGGTTTAAATTACGGGTCGACAGAGTTAACCTGACTAAACTAATTTTTTTTTTTAAATAATAAAAACAACATTGTTTTGATTATTTTTTTTAAAAAATCAACATGTTTTGTGACACTTGTTTTATCCTGATGTTAACTTAGGTATTTGACCGAGTCAATCTTTTTTTTAAAGCCTGGACTAATCCAAGGCTTGGATTAACCCGTCAAGTTAGTTTCGGTTTTATAATTGTTGTTATTATAGTATTATTAATTTCAACACTCAGTAACATATAAAGTAAAAAAAAAAGCATACAATTTTAACAATAATATATATCAATGATAAAATAAATTTTTTAATAGTTTATTATTATATACATGATAATAAAATTAAATATAAAAATAATTATTTTATTTTATATACCATTACCAAATATAAATTCATCAATATAATTTTTATAGGGAGACAATAATCAAATGATACCTAATAAATACTCCTAGTTGCTCCAATACACTGTATTGTCTTAAGAAAAAAAGGGGATGGGTAAAAAAAAACTTGATTAATACATAAACCAGTATAGAAAAAAATTAAGGACATGCCATCCATGCTAATCCAATTTATTTAAAAGAAGTGAATTCATATCATGTTTTAAGATGACTGGTGTGATTTTCTAAATTTTCATGTATCACTGGACTTCTTTTATAACAACGTCAGACATTACAAGAATTAAAAAACATAAGTTATTTGAGTACGAGATTAGTGTGGAATTTAATGGTGGTTATCGACAGTCTACCGATCAATGTATATTTTTCTTATCAATTTTATTTAGTATTTGATATCTTTTACAGGGAAAAAAAACGAGATTGCATCAATTCAGGAATCAGGGTATATTTAGGATAGAGCTTTGTTTGGTTTTTTCAGCGAAGCTATGAAAAAAAAATATAAAAATAATTGCATCTTAGTCTCAAACACATTTATAGCTTATTTGTTATTATAATAATAATTATTTTTAAAATAATTTTTTATTTTAAAAAGTATTAAAATAATTTTTTTTATTTTTAAAAATTTATATATTATATTAATTTATTAAAATAAATTTTAAATATATAAAAATAAATTTTAAATAAAAAACTTTTAAAATACAAAAACAAACAAAAAAAAATCAACATTCTTAAATAAAAAAATATCTCAATGTTTATAAACATGAAAAAAATTGAAATAAAAAGGTCATGTTTGTTTTCTGCAAAGTGATTTCCTAATTTTTCCGTATTTGTTTTTTATTAGAAAAGTTGGTTACTGAAAAACACTTTTTAGTTAACAATTTGTTTTTTATTAGAAAAGTTGGTTACTGGAAAACATTTTTTAGTTAATAAAAAATATTTTTTGGTCAACCAAAATACTTTTTGGTCAAATAAAAATTTAGCTTGATTTTCAAGAAAATATTTTTTTTTTGCTGTGTTTGTTTTCTGAAAATTGGTTTATGAAAAATCAATTTCCAAACTGTTTTATATTTGTTTATTATTAGAAAAGTTGGTAAATATAAAATATTTTTCAGTCAAAGAAAAATTTGACTTGGTTTTCAGGAAAGTGTTTTCCTATAAAATTTGAACGGAATAGTCAAAGAAAAATTTGACTTGGTTTTCAGGAAAGTGTTTTCTTATAAAATTTGAACGGAATACACTTTCCAGAAATTGTGAAAAATTTAGAAATATTATTATTTGCTAATTATATCAAATTTGATCCTTAAACCTTTGATTCTTATATATATTTTATTTTGAATATTTATTTTTTTAATTTTACCTCTTAAAATTTAATTTTTATATTAACTTTGGTGCTTATTTTTACAATAGCTGTTTATTTTATTTTTTATTTTTATGAAAATCTTTTATTTATCAAATTTAATCCTTATTTTTTTTATTATTACTTATTTTATTTAAAATAATTTATGAAATGTTGATTATTATTATTTTCATTTCTTAATTTTTTTTTTCTTAAATTTGATCTCTAATTAAAAAAAATATTTTTTTAAATTTTTTTTCAGCAAATGAAGAGACTAACTGTTTTAAAAAAAATATTTTTTTAAATTTTTTTTAACTGTCAGAAGCTGAGACCATGCAAGCAGGTGATAAGAATCAACACTGACACGTCTTCTGAGGTGAAGTGTACAGAGCAGTGTCAGGTGTCGAAGGACAGGTAGATGAGGAGCCCATGACATTGAGGGCTGTGATCTGTTAAGTATAAACTTCTGCTGGGCAATGTAAATTCAATTCAATTTAAATGATTAATTGATTTTTTTATATCTAAGACTCTTTTAATTCAATTCATCTCCCGTTTCTGGCTTTGCTCGGCCACTTATGCATGGAAATGGCTGCTTGATGCGTGGGTGAGCATGGATTAAAAATATATAGAGATGGAAAAACAATAGCATTTAAAATTGTACCCAGTATTTAAGAACAAAAACAGCACAGTAACTATCCATTTCTATTTTTTAGATGGAGCAGCAATGGATGAGGCCTATCAACTAGCTACGATCACTCCTTGGATTGCTGTAATACTATCATTTGATTATCTAGTAATACGATAATTATTAGGCACATTGAATTGTAGGTGAAATGAGATAATTTATATATATGGTGATATCTTCTGGGTTATTATAATTGTCAACTAAGAATTGTTTCTTGAATTACTAACATTGTTGTGGTCATGTTAGCCATTGAGTTAGTTATTTGGTAAAATCTATCGATGCTAGTTTGAAATTTATTTTATTTAAACTTAATTATAGTAAAATGTTAGATTTTGTATTGGAATGCTTATAGAGTTCTTTTCTTAACATTCTAGAGAAAAGATTTTGATTGAAAAGTTTTCTTCACAAACATGTAATTTTCGTTTTTTTCAACAAGTATTTATAGGTTCATGTATATATTCTTTAAAATGTCTAGATTTTATTTCATTTCAAATAAATACATGAGTCTCTTTAACAAAAAAAAAGAATTAACGTTGATATAGATTTTATTTCATTTCAAATAAATACATCAGTCTCTTTAACAAAAAAAAGAAGAAAAAGAATCAACATTGATTTAAATAATTTATAAATTAATGGCAAAATTATCAATTCAATTTATTTTTTCACATGTATTCTAAAAAAAATTATAATTGAACTTAATTATATAGTTTAGTATTTTATTCTTAACATAAAAATTATAATAAGTTATCAATTAAATTTTAATTTATTTTCAAATTAAATTTATAATGTGATTTCAATTGACACATAAAAGTGGTCCATTAATACAACATTATTTTTTTTTTTTAAAAAAAATAATTAAATCAATACAAGTTAATAAAATTCTCCATTCATGAGCGTTTATGTGTTTTCACTTTGAAGCCATGTTTATTTTTTAGAAAATAATTTTTAATTTTTTTTTATGTATTTACCATTAAAAAAATTGACAAACAAAAAATACTTTTCAATAAAAAAAATTTGATTTGATTTCAAGAAAAGTATTTTCCTGAAAAATTTAGATGGAAAATACTTTCTGAAAATTATGAAAAATTTAAAAATATTATATTATTTACTGATTATATTAAATTTATAATTTATTTATTTTAATTTATTTTTTAGATTTGATTTTTATTATTTAACTATTTCTTTTGGAATTGATTTGAATATCAACTTAATTAAATTTGACATGAATGCCATTCAACAACAACTGATATTTTCTTTTATTTTTTTACAAATAATACTGTTTTATTTAAAAAATAATAAAAATTATATTTTTTATACTGACCCAACGACTCCACGATGCACGTGTTTAGCTAATTTAGACGCTAGACTGAGTCTAACTTGCATAATTAATGTTTCCACTAGTTAACTCGCTTCCACGGGAACAAAAACAATTGAACGAAAAATAAATAATTGTGGTTTTTGTATTTTTCTCAATAAATGTTTGTTGTGGTTTTTGTATTTAAAATTATAGATTCTTAAAATCAATTACTTCTCTTAACTTATTTTAAAGGCATGTTTAATTATAATAAATGAAAATGAAAATGAATATAAATTTTATTTTTCTTTTACTAGTTTTTTATTTTTATTTTTTAACTTGTTAAATAAAACAAAATCCACATAAAGCAAAAAATATCCAAGATTTTCATCATCTCACACCCGGATCCACCCGTTTTATATTCTTCTTCTTTTTAATTTGTACAGCTAATAGATCAGAAAAATGCGATGTTAAGCACTTTCAAATTACAGCTTATCTCAATCTCAATCTAAGAGATTTTTTTTAAATATCAATATAATAAAATAATTCGACAACTTAAAAATAATTAATTTAAAATAAAGAATAAAAAATAAATTTATTTTAAAAATATTTTTAAAATACAAAAATATTTTGATGTAAATATTTTAAAAAGTTACCGACCTTTCCACGTCTTGTTGTTGAATGGACTCAAACACGAGCAACGCGCGTGCACTCCCGAGTCTACAAGACATAAAAAACCCTCACGACCCCCTTAAAACGAGATTAAGAAAGAGAGAAACGTAGGATCCCCGGATACACTCTCACACTCTCACTCATGGACGCTCTCGCACTCTTCTGCACAGGAGCTCTCATAGCCGGTGGCATCTACTGGTTCGTTTGCATTCTCGGTCCAGCCGAGCAGAAGGGAAAACGGGCTGTAGATCTCTCCGGTGGCTCCATCTCAGCCGAGAAAGTCCAAGATAACTACAAACAATACTGGTCTTTTTTCCGCCGCCCCAAAGAGATCGAAACAGCCGAAAAAGTCCCTGATTTCGTCGACACATTCTACAATCTAGTCACCGATATTTACGAGTGGGGATGGGGCCAGTCCTTCCATTTCTCTCCTTCCATCCCTGGAAAGTCCCACCTTGAAGCCACGCGCCTTCACGAGGAGATGGCCGTGGATCTGATTAATGTCAAGCCTGGAGATCGAATCCTGGATGTTGGATGCGGCGTCGGTGGTCCTATGCGTGCTATCGCTGCTCATTCACGCGCTAAGGTGGTCGGTATCACAATCAACGATTATCAAGTGAATCGTGCGCGTATGCACAACAAGAAAGCTGGGTTAGATTCACTTTGTGAAGTTGTTCAAGGGAATTTCCTTGAGATGCCGTTTCCGAGGAACCACATTGTTGTAACAATACTTTCTGCTTTGGGGATTGCTCCCAAAGGGACTGTCGATGTTCACGAGATGCTGTTCAAGACAGCTGATTATCTTACAAAGGGTGGTGATACTGGGATTTTCACTCCTATGCACATGATTCTCTGCAGAAAACCTGAGAAGAAGACAGAAGAAACCTCAAATTCTTAGTCTCTAGTCTGATTGGGTAATAATCAAAGATTCCCTGGTATTTTTATGTTTCAGCAACTCATGTTCTACCTCCTTTGTGACTTTCTAGTTCTTTTTTCCTCTTCATTTTAGGGTTTCCCCCCCCCTAGTTAAATCCTCTTATCTTCGTATTTTTGTTCTTAAATTTCGTGGCTGGATCTTTGTTTTTTTTCTACTGTTATTATGGCGACGGTGAAGAATCCAAAGGTCAAGATTATTGTTATCTAGATTTTCATTATTTTTTTATCATTCACTTGATTTTCTCTGTTTTAAATTAAATAAGCTAAATAAATTTTGGGTGAATGGAGGAGATCTACTGGCGAGATTTGTCGAGGATTATACGGTTTGTTTGGAGTTGTGTAGCTGTTCTGTTTAAAGTGTTTTTTTTAATTAAAAATATATTTTTTATTTTTTAAAAATTATTTTTAATATTAACATTTTAAATTAAAAAAATTAAATTTTAAATTAAAAAAATTCAGAATTCAAGGGCAAACGGGCTCTCATGCATGTGAGAACAAGAGAGAGGACACTCGGCGCACATGGAGCGAAAAAGGCACTTTTGCCATAAGAAAATAAACCTTAGGTGCCCAGCCAGCGCTGGATCTTGGCTTTACCTGTGTCGTTAGTTTGCTTTACAACCAGCTTTTGTTGCTTTTGACATGTTGTGACAAGCTTGAGGACTGAGGACAGTTGCATTTATGGCTGAATCAGTGAATTGGAATTTGAAATTTTTTTATTTTTTTTAAATTTGAATTTTTAAATTAATTTTTATGTATTGTGTTAAAAAAATAAAAAATATTATTTTAATTTAAAAATACATTAAAAATCAATTTTTTTATAAAATTCTGAATTTTTTTAGTTTTAAATTATTTTTTTATATTTTTATATTGTTGTGTTGTTAAAACTAAAATTTAAAAAATAAAAAATATTATTTTGATTTATTAAAAAAAAAAAGAAAATTTGAAAACTAACTTATACACGCTTTCTATAGATCACATGCTGCTCTTGCACTGCTATAAAAATGATTCAATTTGGGGTCTGGTCTTATCAATTTAATTTTTCCTTTATTATGAGTGTATGTATGCATTAAATGGCTATCTATGGGAGGAGGGAAGGCATGAAAGATGAATTTCGGCATATGTTTAAAACTATAGTTGATGCATATATATTTTAAGTGTTTAGGAATGTGGTGGTAATGTTTGTTTCCTAAATTTTTTTTAATATATAAAATAATATATTTTTTAAATTTTTAACAATTATTTTTAATGCAGCATATTAAACAAACACAAAATTTCAAGCAATTTTTTTTAAATCATAAAATCTATTTTTAAATGCAAAAACAACTGCATCAAAAAACGACTACAATGCTAAGTGCTTATTTAAAGTTGTGTTTGGGCATAGTTTCAGTAAATTTTAAATTTATTTTTGTTTTTGTTTTCTGATGTATTAATATTAAAAATAAATTTAAAAAAATAAAAAATATTATTTTAATATATTTTTACCAAAAACATTTCCAAGAGTATTTGGACCGACATTCGCTCAGAAGCACACTCCGTTGTTCTGAAAGTTTGGCTTGTTCATGGTGGGAATAAAATTGGCGAGGCAGGAAATTAATCCGAAGTTAAGGCTCGGTTTTGGGCAGTACAGGGAGACTGGCAAGCCCAGACATCAACCGAAGGAACTAAAGCATTAATTGAAAGGATGATTCATGAGGTCGCTGTTCTGAATTATTTATAGGTTTTTTTTTTCTTAAAATAAATTAAAATAATATTTTTTATTTTTGATATCATATAAAAAATAAAAAAATAATATTTTTGAAACACAAAAATAACTACAATATTTGACACGAAAAAGTTAATGAGAATAATGCTGTTGTGGTGACGTACAAAAGGTGTGGTTCTTGCCGACAAAATACTTGTGCTGGGTTCTGTTCTGGACTGGAAATGTTTAATTAATCTGGCAAATTTTAGAGTTTTGAGATTCAAAATGTTAATAATCAGAGCAAAATCAATCGTGGATAAGCGGTTGTATAAGTAAATGGATTTGCATAGTCTGCTTTGTCTTCAAGAATTTATTAACTAACCATCTTAGTTTCGATGGTAAATACAACCCTTTTCCTTGCTAATTGTTTCTCTTGATACCGTAATTTTTTAAGAATTCAGATTACCAATACTTGCAAGATCCGAATTAAGGTTTGGGATATGGGTTAGACGGGTTAATTTATAGATTTTTTTTAAAAATATGATTTTAGATAAGTCTTAGTTTCGATGGTAAATACAACCCTTTTCCTTGGTAATTGTTTCTCTTGATACAGTAATTTTTTAAGAATTCAGATTACCAATACTTGCAAGATCTGGATTAAGCTTCGGTTTTCGGTTTATGGGTTAGACGAGTTAATTTATAGATTTTTTTTAAAATATAGTTTTAGATAAAAGACGGATGCTCAGGCATAAAAAACCGTGGTAAAGATTTGGGATTAAGGAGTTTGTTTTCTTTATGGTCTCAGGTTCGAGTTCTTGGTTGCTCATATGATGACCACTGGAAGCTTACATGGTCGTTAATTTTAGGGCCGTGGAATTAGTCGTGGTACGCGCAAGCTGACCCGGACAACCAAGGTAATCTAAAAAAATTATACTTCCAACCAATAGATGCCGTGCCAAACGGATGCTCAGGCATAAAAAGCCGTTGGCACTTTACAGGATGAGCAAGTTCCTTGGGAGACTTTTGTCACGTTTCGTGATTCTGGAGCTAGGATAGTAGCCATGGAAGAACAAATAAAATGAAGAGAAGCGAATCGGCACACTCTCAAGTCTCGAAACGGAAGAGTGATTGTGTGGAGGACTGACACAATCCGACAGGAGACAGACATTTACATTTTCTTTAGTTTTTGTCCCCCCAACCCCGGAGCCCATGTTCCCGGCTCCCGTCTAAAAAAGAAAAAGAAACTGGGCAGTAGCTGTAAAGCTTTAGCCCAATTCATCTTTTTATTGAGGCCCAACTAGTTATTAGCATCGTCAATGATCTTAAAGCGATTTTCTGATCAGGAGGAAAGGGATATGCTAAGAGACTATGAGGAGAGAAAAAAGTGTCATAAAAATCTAACCCCATCCAACTGTGTGGATAATGAGAACTACAAAAAAATATGTGGATACTATTTATGGTCACTGAGATTTTCATGATAATTCCCCAGCTCTCTTCTCCATTTTGTTCTGTGCTTAGCTCCTCTCAGGTTCTCAATTGCCTAGACCTTTTCTCTACAAGCTTCTTTCCATGGCTGCTATCACAAATTTTTTGTCAAAACCACCATTGTCTCTTTCAAACACCCCTAAATTAAGCCCTCCTTGTTTGCACAGTTCCTTCTTAGCACCCTTTGTTACTAAAGAAGTTAAACCCCTAGCAGCAAAACTTGGTACAGGAAGAACTCACTTTATGACGAAGGCTACAGCTGCCCCAGGGACCAAAAAACCTGTCAACGATGAAAAAGTACAAAAAATTCACAGCGTAGAGGAGTTCGATGAAGCACTTAAAACTGCAAAAAACAAGCTTGTTGTTGTAGAATATGCAGCAAGCCACAGTTACCATAGCAGTCAAATCTACCCTTTTATGGTAGAGCTTAGCAGAACCTGCAACGATGTAAATTTCCTTCTTGTGATGGCAGATGAATCAGAGAAGACTAGAGAGCTTTGCAAGAGAGAAAAAATTGAAAAAGTTCCACACTTTAGCTTCTACAAGAGCATGGAGAAGATTCATGAAGAAAAAGGGATTACCCAAGATACGCTGATGGGAGATGTTTTATACTACGGTGATAATCACTCTGCTGTTGTGCAGCTGCATCGCAGAGAAGACGTGGAGAAGTTGATTGATGATCATAAAGCTGATCACAAGCTGATTGTTCTTGATGTGGGGTTGAAGCATTGTGGGCCATGCGTGAAGGTTTACCCAACGGTGATTAAGTTGTCAAGGCAGATGTCTGATACTGTGGTTTTTGCACGAATGAACGGTGACGAGAATGATAGCTGCATGCAGTTTTTGAAGGACATGGACGTTGTTGAGGTGCCTACTTTCTTGTTCATCAGAGATGGTAAGATTTGTGGAAGGTATGTAGGATCTGGTAAAGGAGAACTTATTGGAGAGATTCTTAGATACCAAGGAGTTCGTGTTACCTACTAAGAGTATAATTTACAAAAAATCAATCGTTTGTTTAAGGAACTGAGATTGGATTAGATAAAATTTAGTTATCAAAACCATGAGGTAGCCAACAAATTCGGACTGGGAAAATACATGTAGCCATAGAAGTAAAAGGCCCTTGAACTCGATTCCACTTGTGCTATTTTGACATGGCTTCAGTCGAGGAAGTCCATGTCTTGTCTAGTGGTGTTGTATACATTGTTGGCTATTATCAATTTGTTTTATATCTGTACCTTTTTTTTCATCCTTTGATCTTGAATGTGGCTAGTGACTTTTACTTGAATCTAAGGGATAAAACGGTACTGCTTAATTTGTTTTCTAGAATTAACTCAGGCAATGAGCTTGTTTTAGGTAGGAAGAAATGCATCATCTTTGTCTGTGTGACGTGTAAACAAATGCCCTGTCAATTTACTACAGTTAGCTGAAAAAGAGCCTAAAAGATGATCCTCCTACAACAGAATGCTTGCTGAAACCTATTCAGAAAATTGATAATGTGATGTAGAATAATCATTTTTGAACTGGGGATGCCTCAGAGGTCACTGCATTTGCTCTGCAGTAGTGACTGCTGCATGGCTGAACCTAACACAAAAATGAATTTCGTTGTTCTTCCTCCTCCCTTTCCCCTGTTTTTTGGCATTTTGAAGTCAGCAAAGGTTTTGTTTTTCCTACATACAATAGAGAGCACAGGTTAAGCAGTATAATACTTGAATTTGATTGGAATATTGCTCTCCTTTGGGAACCAATTTGGCAAATATGGAATAACGAATTTCAAAGTCAAGGCCTGACGATTCCATTGATGACGGGTGATTATGATGGAGAAATTATCACACACTGGTTAATAGAATGGTTGAGTATTAAAATGGGTGGTAGGTCCTGTAGATGCTTCATCAGAGAAAAGGAGTGATGCTCTATAAAAATGCACGAAAATAGATGTAGATTATCTACTGTCCATGTCTAAAAACTGGTACAATAGTACTCTTACTGTTTTCTTAAAAAAAAAGCTTCGGGGGTGGTTTTTTCGTAGTTATAATAGTTGACAGGAACTGAGACCTAGCGGATGAGGTACATTGAAGATCATGATATTTTAGCTGTACCAAATTTTCTACTGGCAGCAGATTTGTTAATTGTGGAAGGCATCCCCTAGAAAACGATCCATTTAATCTAAGAACGTAGGAGAAAGGCTATTTTGATGCTCTTGACATAAATAAAAAAATAAATAAATCTCTGCCCGTAGATTCAACTAAAACCATGCCAATTTCAAGCAGGATGGGCTGGCTTTAGCAGGCAAGAGACGCAAGTACAGATGAAATTGCAGGTATCCTTTCAAATATCTTTGATAGGACTCAAAAGCCACTTCGTGTTAACATGGTTGCATTTTCGGTTGAGGCAGCTTCCTAAATTGTGTGCGGTTTGTTAATTATTTAAGAAGAATATCTAGCATTCCACCGTTTGAAAACCATACTTGGTGACGTGGGATAGAATTAGAAGCTTTTTGTGCGTGTTTAGCATCTGGTCTGAAAAGATTTTTTAAAGAATTGTATTTTTTTCTTAAACAAAATTTTATGAGAGAGTTCATACAAAAACTATGATGTACATCGACTAATAAAATATTTTTAATTATATAATTAGGATAAAATATATACTGAATCACACCACATTACATAAACAAGCATAATCTTATTCGAAATGACTATCTATTTAAAGATTTTTGTAGTGGAGAAAAACAAAAATGAAATTAGAAAATAAATGTCTTGCTGCCAGTTGAATCAATTTGTTCTTCTGATTTTTTGCATTTCCATGACCTTCTATCGAACACAAATTTGTACAAAATCCTTTGCAATTGCACCTAACTTACACATTCCATCTCTGCTTTCTAGCAGGATTTGAGATTTAACAGAAACAAAGGGAAAATATATTTGGAAGCTTCAACAAAAAAGTACTGTTAATTAATTTCCTCTAACCATATTGGATCTCAGTTGAAGAGGGTGAGGTGGGTTTATGGTTCTTTTCTTCCAGAGGTTAATTTCTTTCCTTGGCAGCAAATCTATTCCTCCACCTACCAATATAGGTGCCGAGAAAGGAATGATAACCTCTTCATGTTCCTCTTCTTCTAAACGATCTACCCTCTCTTCATCAGTATAATAATCCCTGCTATCAGATTCCAGGGGTGCAATCTGATGAGCGGTCCAGTCAAAACCAGCCAAAGTATCACGACCACTTGCAAACTTTTTCATTTGACTTAATGAAGGTGTTTTATCAGGAAGTGTTGGCTTATCTCCACCAGAAACAATAGATTTCCTCCCTGCTTTTGATCCAGTGAAGAGTCTCATAAGTTTAGACGCGTGCTTCTTTATCTTATGTGGATTCTGTGACACAGGCTTTGTTTCTTGAGGGAGCCAAGGAACGCGCTTGGAAGTGGCTTTGTTCATCTTCTTCTTGTGCTTGACTTGGCCTATACATGAGACCTTTGGTGAGCTGGGCTCTTCTTGGGTCTCAAAGCTCTCATTCTTGGGCTGTCTTCTAACTTTAGCTGGGATTAACGACCTGACAGGATTAACTCCTTTGCCTGCATTGGCTTTGTGCTTGTGTGCGTTTTCTGATCTCTTATCTCTACCTGGGCCAACTGTAAGGTTATGGAAGTTGACTGCAGAAACAACTTTTGGTAGAAATTTCAAGATCATTCTCGGTGATGCTGCTGCTTGTTTCTCCATTTCTGTTATCGTGGAATTCTCTCTGCACAAGATTTTCAATCTCTCAATCATACATGGCTTTATATATTTGTGTGCTACCAAGGTTTTTGTGTCTTCAGTCTTGACCCTGTCTTGTCTTATTTGAGTGAGAGACAGGGTTTGGTCAGAATGAAGAGGTGTGACTTAGCAAACCATTTTTGCCCATCATAATCTAATATCCATACAGCTTATCCGACTCTGAAGATTTCCTTCCAAGTTTAATTCCTGCTATTTGATACACTGATCTGTCTCCATCCATTTGCTTGGTCAATTGTCTGTTTATGACCTGTTAGGCTTTATCTAATCATCAACAAATGTTGAACGCGACGCTTACATAGGATAAGTTTGAGGGAAAAAAAAAAAAAAGCTGCGTTCGGCAACAACAAGTTAGTTTTGAACGCTGCCAGTGATGTTGTTTGTAATTGTCAAAACGAATCAATAATCATAAAACTTGATGAACTTAAAAGATGACATTGAACATTGAAAATTCACCGAGTTGTTGTTTGTTTAGTGTTTCGAGATAAAAGAAACATATATAAAATTGATCAAAAATATATTTAGTTATAGATATAAAAATAAATATATTTTTGGGATTATTTCAAATTAGATTTTCTATCTTTGCTTAACAAAAAGTACAAGAACAATGTCGTAATTACCTTCATTTCTCCTGCCCCGAGACCATAACTAATAGCTACTTTACTAAATTAAGAACCCTTTCATATTATAATAGCTTTTTTAAGAGGTGTTCATTATTCGATTCGGTTTGATTTGAACTTAAAAAATTAACCAAACTAAATTATATTAATTTTATAAAATATTAACCAAACCGGTCCGATTCTATTAAATCCAGTTTTTTAATAAAAAAACCATAAAACCTAATTCCATCATCTGGATTTTTCATGTGACAAGGAAATAACACAAGTAATTTTATAAAATATTAACCAAACCGGTCCGGTTCTATTAAATCCAGTTTTTTAGCAAAAAAACCATAAAATCTAATTCCATCATCTGGATTTTTCATATGACAAGGAAAAAACACAAGTGTAGAAAGAACATAGATTTTACAGCATTTTCTTCATGAAAGGCACAGAGAAGTTCAAAGCAGAAACTTTCTTGATAAAGCTAAATGAAGGATAATTATCTTTAATATCCAAAACAACTTCTCCATGGTTTCCATTGCCATTAATCCCATCTGTCTCAGCCATTACCATGAATACTTACCATAAGAAAGACAACCGAGAATGAAAAGGAAGAAAATATAAGAACAAGAAAAAGATACAAGTGACAAAGATACGCAAAGATATTATCTTTGTGGTAACTTTATTATTCTCCTATGAAGTATACATAGCAAGTACAAGCTATTATAAATTTTCAAGTTACAGAGGCTTATAAATATACAGAAGTAAGGGAGAGAAATAATTGTTAACTCCTATTTTTTTTAGTTAAAGATCATCGTACATCAATTTTTTTTAGATGTGTATGTGACGTTGAAAAATATGACCTTGAAAGAAAGATTAGAAAATAGAAAAAAGAAAATTGAGAAAGAAAGATTAGAAAATAGAAAAAAGAAGATTGAAAATTAATTGAGAGGAAGATTAAGAATTTTTTCTGGGGCAAGCGATATTAATTGAGAGGAAGATTGAGAATTTTTTCTGGGGCAAGCGACGACTTTTGTGAGAGACAAGAAGGTTATATTAACTATTAGGGTTAGGTTACAATTTAACTATTTATACCTCAAAGATTTGTGTCATTTTTGGCTTTAGTGGGTTCGGTTTGGTTTGTGCTGGTTTCTGGTTCAAAACCGAAACCAAATTGAACTTGTTAAAATTTATGGTTTTAACAATCGGTTTAATCGATTTTTCATTTCAGTTTGATTTTTTTGGTTAATTGTTCTTCAGTTTTTTCAGTTTTCTCGGTTAATCGGTTATTTTAAACATCCATAGCTTTTACTGTTTAAATTGTTTTTTATTTAAAAAACAATAAATTGATTTTTAATTTTTTTAATAATTTTGATGTGTTGATAGTAAAATAAAAATAAAATTTACTATATTTTCTAATAAAAATTATTTTAAAAGCCATTATGCTTCACAATATCAAACACGTATTATAAGTACACTTAATTTCATATAACAAGTCCCAAAATCCAAGATGTTTAGCAATAAGACTAATATGTTAGATAATCAGTTAATCTTTTAGTTCAACTAACCTAATTCATTCTTGTTAGCCAATGTATTTTGTGACTTGATATAAAAAGCATAAGTGATTGGTAGTTGGTAGCAAGTGGTGTCTAGTAGTTGCAAAAGATCTTATTTGATGGATGTGAAGACTTTTCAATGCTTAAATCAATAATTTTATAAAGAGAAAAAGTGGAATGATATTTTAGAAAAAAAAACTTTGAAAATATGTATATTAAAAGTGATAAAAATGAAAAGAATGTGAACCTTAAATTTGAAGGATTTATAGTATATTTATTGTTCATAAGTTTTGTTCTTTTATAAAAATAAGAGATTGAAGTGTAATT